GGGGCAGGGAAATGGGAGGCCAGGGGCAGGGAAATGGGAGGCCAGGGCTGGGAAATGGGAGGCCAGGGGCAGGGGCCCACCAGGGCAGCAGTCAGGCCATTCCATGAGGTGAGTCAAGAAGCTTTATTAGGAGGAGGTAAACACAGAGTTAAAACCTGTCCTGGGGACTAAAAGCAGCTCAGACCCCAAGGGCCTGGGGCCAGCTGAAGCAGGGCTAAGTGAGACTGTCTGGGCCCCCCTACAGAGCCATTCTGTCCTCTCCATGGGAGGATGCCTTCTGCAGCCCGGCTTCCCCCTGCCCGGCTCCTGGGGTCACCCGGGGCTTCCTCGCCTGGCCTTGACCCCTCTGTGCCTTGGGGGCATCCTGCTGTGCCTCCTTGAGCACCTTCCCCTTGCTCTTTCCCCCAGGGACCTTTTGGGGCCCCTTTATCCCAGCACCCACAGAGCTGTTGCTTTTGCTCCTTCCTGCATCCTCAGCAGCCGCAGCCCCACGGGGCCTTTTGCCAAGTGCCTGGGGGTGGTCAGCAGCTCGTGGGGGCCTTGAACGCCCCGTGCCAGGGGCCTGGGGATGGTTGGCAGCTCGCGGGGGCTTTGCTCCATCGCTCCCAGGCTTCACTGCAGCTCGTGGCTGGGCCTGGAGGAGAGGGAAGAGAGCACCTCAGGGTGCTGCCATGCCATGAGTCCCCCAGCCCCACTGCCATCACCTACTCACATCCACGGGCTTTGCTTTTGGCTTCCTCTTCGTGGCTGTCAGCTGCTGCCTCGCGGTACCTGCAGACGGGGTGGTGGGTGAGTCCTGGTGGGGCCAGGCAGCACGGGGTGGCCCATGCCCCAGAAGCCCTTTACCTCGTTGTTGTGCACCAGCCACAGGGGCACAGGGGGCCTTGGTGGTCCCTTCCTGTCCTGGCTTCGGGGCCTGTCCTCTGCCAGGATTTGAGGATTTGTGCTGTGGCTCCTTGGGTGCTAACTGGGGGTGAGAGCAGGGTGTCAGTGGGCCCAGGCAGCACCTCGGCCCCCAGCCGCCCTGGCAGCCCCCTGCTCACCATGAAGGTGCCGGTGGCCCCCACAGCAGAGGAGTTGCGGGGCCGCACCAGCTCCCCACTGCTCAATCCCTTGCTCAGCGCCTGCTTCAGCAGGTACTTGAGCCGGATGGGATCCACGGTGGGGTACTTGGCCAGGATGAATTGTCTGATGGTGAAGACAGAGGCTCCCTTCTTCTCATCCTGGGCCCGCAGCGCCTCTTTGACCATCTGCAGGGTTGAAGGGCGCCGGGCCATGGCACTCAGGACCAGTGGACTCAGGAGTTGGGCTGGAAGAGGCACCACTTGAGACTGGGGTCCAGCCCCGAGACACTCACACCTCCAAGGGCTGCAAAGCCCCCAGAAGCTGAGCAGCCATAACTCTACTCATCCCTACAGCCTCACAGGGACTGTGGCCACTAGAGCTCAAACCAAGCCCCAGAGCCCCAGCCCCACCAGAACCCAAAGTGAGCCCTAGAGCCCCAGCTGAGACTCACCAGAGACCCAGCTCTGCAGGACCCTGCAGCGCTTGCAGACCCCTTACCCCTTTGAGGCTCCATAGCAGAACACACCAGCCCACAGCCTTGGGCACAGACAACTCCACCCACAGCACCACCAACCCTGCTCCTTAGGCCCAGCTCACCTCCCTGCAATTTATCTGATGGGCAGCCTGGGTGGCAGCTGGTTGGCAGCTGCTAATTGCTCTGGTCTCCACCTCAGGTGGGAGCCAGGGGCTGGGAATTCAAGTGCCCTTTGCCAGAGTTCTGTGAGGGGCTGGAGGGAGAAAGGGCAGACCTGAGCAGAGAGTTTGGAGAGGGATGAGAGACTGGGAGTGTGTGGGATGATTGCCCTGAACAGGCAGGGGAAAGGCACGTACCCACTGCTGGGTGGGTGTTGGGGTGCTGGGATGGCAGCTTGCTGGTAGCATTTGCTGTGGGGTGCATGGGGAGCCAGCTTGTGGCATGCAGCCCACACAGACCTGTTCCAGTGTGCTGGTGGGATGTGCCATCTCCCTGGGCTTCACCGAGAAGCAGGGGGCTGATAAGGAGTGGAAAAAACAATCCCACAAAGGAGAGGAGGAAAATGAAGAGCTGCTTGGTTAGTCTGCACAGTGACTCCCCTCACTATCTCCATGATCATGTTCATGAGCAGGACGACCATTCCTCCCTGCCCACTGAATCCCACCATGCTGGGAGAGCACTCCCAGCCCTGGACATGGGCAGCCATGTCCCCTCTTTGCTGCCACCTGCGCTCACAAGGTGAGCCTGAGTAAATCACTGAAGGTTCTTTGGTGCAGGAACAGCACAAATGTCCCCACCTGGGGGACTGCTGTGTTCTTCCCCAGTGCCCCATCAATCCCTCCCTCTGTACAAAGGAGACTCACGTGTGCATTGTCTGTCTGAAAGGTGAGGAAGCTGAGCCAAGATTACACCATGGCAGGACTGGCTCGTGGCCACCTCAGCAGACCTGTCACCATGGCAATGGACCTGCAAACTACTGCCCACAGAGATCTTCATCAAGGTCTGTGCCCACCACTTGAGCCTGGGGGCCAGATCCTGGCTGAGGTGGCAGCAGGTTTGGCAGCTGGGAGAGAGTTTGAATGCCTGGAGCTCCACATGCCCAGTTCCCCCCAGACCAGCACCACCAGCCTGCTCCCTGCTCCATTTCCAGTCCATTTCCAAATTCCCCAGGAAGCGGACAGTGGGGACACTGGAGGGAGGCAGGGCCTGGGACCATCCTCCCCCTGGATCCATCCATCACCTCTCTGGCAGCTCTGTGATGCCTCTGGTAACCCAGCTGAGCTGGCAGGGGGGTCCCAAACCCTTGCTTGCCCCCAGCACCACCAGCAGTAGCCGTAGGGCTGGGCACGGTGAGGAGTGACAGCCTGCAGGCTCAGGGCCAGGCCGTGTGCTGGGGCTGGTCCTGCACGGGCAGGCGAGCTGCGGTGCCAGGCAGTGCCACACTCCTGTGGAGCCTCATGGACAGCAAATAAACACCAAATCCTTCCTCCTCTTCCCTCCAAAACCACCTCCCAGATTTGAAGTACATGAATCAGACATCAGCCTAAACACTGAATTATTCATAAAACTCTAATCCTTAGATTTCACTGAATATGCAGAAGTATGGATAAAAAAAATAATGAGAGAATTGTACTTGCAAATTGCTCTTTATTAAGGGTTTAACTTGCATGGGCTCTATATGTTCCCTATTAGTCCTTGCAAAGCTGCATAGGATTAGAAATCAGAGAGGATAATAATGTACAAAAATAGTTTCAAATGTTGATAACACTGAACAGCAAGAAAAACATCTTATTTGTATAACTGAGCTAAAAATAAAAATGAAGAACAGTGCTACAATTGCAATATGCCATCTTGTAGTGCTCCGAACATATGTTGGCATCGCTGAGCCATATGCTGCCGGTCCTGCCTGCTGCGGCACGGGGGGAGCTCAGCCCTGCACCCCCTGAGCCTCAGCAGCACAGGAGCTGCCCAAAACCTCCTCTCGGGCCGAGGCCAAACTGACCGCAGCCGAAACGGGGAGGGGTGCGGGGCAGTGTGCTGGGGGCTCGGCCCTGGGGGTCCAAAGATGCCCTGGCCGGGGCGTCAAGGTGGGGAGAGAGAGGCGAGGGCGGCTCTGGCACGGCCCAGGCATGGCAGGGCTGTCTGACCCAGGGTCTGCACTCAGAGCAGGGGCACGAGCTCTCAGCAAGTCAACAGAAACTCACGGATATGCGCCAGAGGAGCTAAATCTTTGCATTTTAATTACAAAACGTGTGTACACATTTTCAGCCTTGTTTCCAGGGTTCCTAGTGCCAGGAGAGAGGAGCCCACCCCACAGGACCTTGGTCCTGGCGAAGCAGGGGCGGGTGGTGACGGCGGTGGGACTAAGTTCGTGCACCCCAGGGACTGGCCCAGGTGGGGCCTACGCAGGAGAGACCTGGCTGGTGGAGACGGAGGAGGTGTCTGTCTTGCCAGCAGATGTGTCCTCATCTCCCAGCGGGTTCTTGCCACAGCAGAGGGTTGTGATCATGCAGTTACGGAACTGGGAGAGAGGGAAGCCCGGTGTGAGGCAGGTGGACACCGGGCAGCTCTGCCTACAGGGCTGTCTCCAAGTTCAGCAGAGCTGCTTGGAAGCCCCCGGCACCACAGCACAGGAGGCACCACACCAATGGACTCTCCTGCCCCACAGGCTGCTGCCAGCCCTGCCTGCCGAAGCCACGGCTCCTCCATCAACGCAGCACCTGCATCATTTCAGGCTGGATGGCCTTGCGTTCGTGAGGTTTATGCAATGCCAAGGCTGAGCTGCACAGTCACCCTCCCATGTACCAGGATGAGATCACCTGGAAACAACCCCCCCTCCAGCCCACTGGCAGCTTGGTAACTCTCTGCCAGCTCTTATAAACTGAAACACAAAAAAGGAGTTGTCTCACCCCCTGCCACTTACCTGTTTGTTCATTACGATGTAGATGACAGGGTTGTAGATGGAGGAGCTCTTGGCGAAGAACGCCGGGATGGTCATGAAGATGGGCCCGAAGTCTGATCCCTGGTTGGTGAAGATGTAGAACGCGACACTGGCATAGGGGACCCAGCAGATGAGGAAGGAAATGACCATGATGATGACCATGCGGGTTACTTCTTTTTCTGCCTTCTGGGTGGTGGCAGACTCCTGCTGCTGGGCAGCAGCCTGTGGGCAGAAGGAAATGGAAATGTGATGGAGCCAGAGAGTGCTGTGCCTGCAGGGATGTGGGGTGAGGGCTCATGGAAGTCAAGCTGCACATCTGGAATTTGCTCTTTCCCTCTTCATGGAGAGCCAGCTTGGCCCCTGGAAGGCTCTCCCTGTCACCAGTCTGGAACATGGTATGGGCCCTTTCCCAGCACTGGGGATGGAGATGGCTCTCAGCCCACTGTCACTGGCAGATACCCACCTCCTTGACAGTGCAAACCAGGTTCCCGTAGCAGAAGAAAATGATTGCAAGAGGGATCATGAAGTGAACCACAAACATGTAGATGACGAAAGATTCATTGTTGACCTCTGGCTTCAGAGTGTAGTAGTCGATCCCACAGGAGCACTGCATGCCCTCGGGGATGTACCTGCAAGGTGAGCCCAGCAGGTCAGTGCCCAGCAGAGGAGAGAGGCTGGAGGGCACAGCCAAGCCACCAGCCAGGCTCCCACCCCCCTGCCCTGGGCCTGCTGCCCCCCTACCTGGACCAGCCGAAGAGCGGGGGAGCTGCACAAGCCAAGGCCATGATCCAGGAGAAGGCAACCCCCATGATGGCGTGGTTCTCCCCGAAGCGGAAGTTGCTCATGGGCTTGCAGACCACTACGTATCGTTCGATAGCCAGGACCACCAGCGACCAGAGACCAATTTCACCTGCACCGGGAGGGGGACAGAGAGGGACACAGGGACTTTGAGCAACAGGAGGAGAAAAATACCGTGATGGCAGCATGAAGCCTCCTCAGACTGATGTTCCTGAGGACAACTCCTGGCAGCTGTTAAATCTCCACCAAGGGTTTGTAAAGAAATGAACAAAGGTGAGGTGCAGATGCGATAGGACAGTGTGAGAAGACCCCTCCTCACTGCACTGCTTACCCACAGGAACCACTTTGCTGCTATGTTTTGAGATCCATGGCTGGATCCCACCATTCAGCTCAGACAGCACCTGCACCTGCAAGCCTACTGCCACACTGAGATATAGCGAGTGCCCGTCATCCCAGGATTTCCCCTTGCTACCCACAGCTTCCTCAGAAACTTGTGCCACAAGGATCAAACCAGTAAAGCAGTAGCTGTGGCTGAAGGCTGAGCTGAATGGAGGAGAGCATTTTTATACACAAAATTTTTGTTTAACATCTGTTTGGGTCCAAGCCTGGCTGGCATGGGGAGGAGAGCCAGCTCTGCTTGCCTGCACCACTGTGCACCACACCAGCGCTCGTGAAACTGGAGGAACAGACTCGCAAAACAGGAGGAACAAAACTGTCATCTCTTGACTCAGAAAGTGAGCCAAGGAGATGTGCAAATCCAACAACTGCAAAATCTGCTACTGGCGGCTTTTCGTTGCTGCACTGTGGTTCTCAGGATACTGAGCAGGTGGCTCCCAAAATAAGGTTAAAAAAACAAGTGTCATTTGTCACTTTCTTCGCCTCCCACCCAGAAACACGGCAATGGCCTCGACCCACAGCAGCAGCAGACCTTCCAGGTACCATGTTCTTCCAAGATCATCTGTGTGTCTTCCCTCCCACTCCTGAAATCTGGGGCAATTCCTGGCAGGAGACTTTTGAATATTTGGAAAACTTACCTCCCAGTGTGGCAAAGAAGCCTTCAATGTAACACCCTGTTACTCCAAAGACAAAGTACCCGTTCATCGAGGTGTACATGGTGGTTGTGAAGCCTCCAAAGACCATGAAGAGGTCAGCGACCGCCAGGTTCAGGAGGATGTAGTTCAGAGGTGTCCGGAGCTTCTTATGCTGGATGGTGACGTAGAGCGTGAGGAAGTTGATGGGGAAGCCGAGCAGGATCAGCATGAACATGTAGGCAGCCAGTGCCGAGAACTTCCAGGGCTCAGCCAGGTAGTACTGGGGGTACTCGAAGGGGCTCCGCACCACCCCGGTCTTGTTGGACATGGGCACGTAGAAGTCTTGGCCTTCTGTCCCGTTCATGGTTGTGGTTCGTGAGGTGCCTTTCGCTCTTACTTAGGGGGTTCTTTTGTGCCCGGGGGGATCGACT